GGGGGGGAAGAAATCGATCTTTCAGATAAGGGTAGGAATGGAGGCAGGCTTGGGATCAACAGAATTGAAGAATTCAAATATGCTAGGTCTTTGCCTTTTCCCTCCCTTCTCTCTTAACTTCATTGTCTTTCTGCACTGGCTTCATTTCCTCAGGAAAACTGGAACCATACCACTTACAGCTATGGTCATTTTTTTTGTACAAACACTGGAAAACATTTTCCCACTAAGTCCAATTAGAAGAAATCCTGTGGTCAGAGGTAAGGTCAGAAAGATTGAGGAGGCAAGTGCTAAGCAGTCAAGAGACTTACTTCACCCTATCTGCACCTCTGTGCTTTTTAGTGGAAGTGGATATTTTCTTGATTAAAGAATTAAGTATTATATCTCATAAAGTGCGTAGCACAGTGTCATGCTCCGTGGTGCTTAATAAATGCTAATTTATTGATAATAAACATGGCATAATTTATCTTAATCAAATATATGGGTGTTTACTGACAATGAGACAGCCTTCAGAATGTTCTTACAGGAAGCTCATTTGGTAAGTTAAGGTACTACCAAGAAGCTGAGTGGAAATGACTCACCTTCCTATTTAAACATTGTCATTTCCATTGCCCTTATTCTCATTACCTTTCAGTTTCTTCTCTTTATAGAGTAGAAAAAGCAAAGAATGTACATGCTAAGCCATTGACCTTGTTAGCTGGGGCACAGCTTGTAGAAAGTGATGAAAAAAGGCTGAACTCCCAAAGACATTTTTGGCAGCAGACATCCTCAGATTTAAAAAGTCCCTTGTCTCCATTCCAGTTCTGAATCTGAAACCATGTTTTCTAGTTTCCACACTAGGTCCAGGTCTCAAAAACCTTTAACCTCAAAACAAAACAAAACAAAACAAAACAAAAAAACCCCGAAAAAAACCTTTAACCTCTTTAGCCACCTATCAGTGTTTTTGGTTTTTTTTTAATTCCAGTTAACTGGATTTGTGAAAGCTAGATGTTGAAAGCTCTTGTCATTGCATTAAAAACAGTGATTTGTGGTATAAATCACTGAAACTGAAGAAAGAGGGAAACCAGAAAGTTTACCTTTCACTCTGTGGTCCAGGACAGTCTTTAAGACAGAGATTAAGACTACTATTGGTGACATGGGCTGTAGACAACATAGTGACCCAAATAACTCATTGTACATGAATTGTAATGAGACATTTTATTCTAAGGGCGGGGCATGGAAGACATGAATAATCTATTTTAGTTGAAATTACTTTTTTTGATAAAATTATATTTTATACTGACTTTCTGTTAAGAAATTCCCGGGGGGAATGATTTCTAATTATCTTTACCAAGCAGTGTTGCAAATCTTGTTTTAAAATTATCAGAACAAGTTTCATTTCACCAAATAATTATACTCAGTGCAGCCAAGTAAAGATATCAACGAAAACCAAATAGCAGCACAAAATAACATTTTATTCTGGAGAAACACTTACATGTTGGAATATTTAGTCCAAAGAGACACTATGAGGGGTTTTTTTAATAGAAAAATAAAAGAAAGTTCTAGTTTTCAAAACAGGTGATAGTAAACTTTTAAAAAATTATTTGCTTCGCTGTAACAGCATAATACACATTTTCTGTGAGAGAGAGAGAGGTACTATTGAATTGTAGGCAATTTAATTGAGTTGTGTTATAGTACATGGTGAATTCCTGATTATAAAAAGGTCAAGCAATATGAAAATTTACAAAGCATTTTAATGTTTTATGATTAAAGAAAAGTGCTAAGTGACTATCAAGTGGACACATTCTTTTTCTATGGCCTCCTCCGATATCAATGTGCTACTCTTTGTAGGACGTCCCTTCCTTCATGATTCCTGCTGGTTCAGGCTTAAGTATGATATTTCCCAGTAGTATTTGCATTTAACTTGGAGACTACTTAAATGATGGCTTTCCTCCCTCTGCCTGAGTCCATAAATATAATACCTAAACTGCAGAGTCCTAGGCTCTGAGTCTTTTCTAAAAGCTGGGCTTTCTCACTGTATGTGTCCTGTGTGCCCCTAGATAGCTGCTATATCATAGTCTTTCTCTACAAAGATTGAGTAGGACTGCATGCAAAGAGCCTTGGCTGCCACTTTGGAAAGATTACTACAGCCTCCATGGCAATTTGGAGGCCACCATATTTGTCAGAAGGGTCACTTTTTAATATTATTGAGTTCACTGGCATGAATTGTAATGAGTTAGTTACAAAAAAAAATAGAAAACTGATAATTTCTTTTCTGACAAATCTAAACTCTTGAAAGAATACTGTTAATTGTTTAATTTGCAATTAATCAAAAAACAACTTGTTTTTTGAATCGTTTTTTAAATCCTGTTTAGCTCTTGCTAAGGAGGGACATTTTTTTTTAATTTAATCCTCTTGTGAGTTGCAGAGTAGCTTTGCTTCAGGTTTCTGGGGTATACTTATGTCAAAGCTTGAGCAATGACTCTGGAGTAATCGAGGAGCCCCTATCTCACCACATTCAACATACTTGAGGTGGTGGCACTCACACCCTGAGGACTCGAATGTTTTAGAATATTCCTGGAGACAGCACTTAATAAAACACCTGAGAACCAAAAGGCTTAGTTCAGTGAAATTCAACACAATGCACAAACATGAGGTAATGACCAAGAAAAAGGTGAAAATGGTTTTCTCCGTGGGTTTGGAGATGAAGCAATCAACAGTGTTGGGACAAGGCTTCAAATCACACTTCATAAGATAGGGAACATTAAACCCATCATACAGTTTATAAAATAAGAGAAGGAAGCCAATTTCAAAACCATTTTTAACAATGAGGCTGATCAGATAGGTGTACCACAGGCCCCCATCCATGGTGCCTGGGCTGACATAGAGCTTCTTTCTGTGCCTTTTCTCTCTACCCTCACAATAGGCCACATGAAGAACCACCAAGAGAGAAGGTGTGGAGACCATGATCAGGTGTAAGGACCAAAGTCTGACCTGGGAAATGGGGAAGAAGTAATCAAAACACACATTTTCACAACCAGGCTGTCTAATGTTGCACTCAAACTCTTTCTGTTCATCCTTCCACACATGTTCTGCTGCCACTATGTAGACCAGCAAACGGAAGATGAATACAATGACCAGCCAGATACGCCCAATCCCAGTTGAATATTTATTTGCTCCACTTAGGAGGTCTCTGAGAAGCATCCAACTCATGACAGTCTCACAAGAAGGCAAGATTCTGTAAAAGAGAACAATTTAATCATGATTCATTTGTTTCTATTCCATTGATGATTTCTATTATTTGATATTTCCTATTCTAATTCTCTAAAAGGAGATGACACACTTGTCCGTGGATATATGTGATCCCATGTCAACTTTAATTTGGAATTTAGTTGGTTCCCCCACCCCACCCCCATGTGCCCACACTTAATCCATTGTCAATTCTATTTTGGTTGGCAAAATATTTCTAGTTTATTGCTTCTCTCTGAAAGTGGATGGGTTATGGAAAGAAGTGGATATGAATCCCTAGGTGACCCTGGTACTTTGAGATGTCCTTCACATGTCTGGCTGTTAAAGTTGTAGTCTTTACTCACTTTCTCCAAATTTGTAATGCCTCTCTCCTTAAGGGTGATTCCTCCTTTCTCTTACTCCCTTTATTCCACACCACTGAGTTTGTCTACATTTTGATGGGAAAACATAAAGCTCTCCCACATGGGCTATCTCAAACTTTTGCTTTCTTCTTCACCAGCCAGACTTATATCCACACCCAGCTTACTTTATCTATCTAGTTTAGAGGAAGAGGTTTCCTTCTTCTTGCCTCAAAATAACCATTTCAGCATTATATCCTACTCTTACCTGTTTTCTCTGTTCTATATTTTGTATCTGCATCCTTTCCTGTTTTCTTCCTCTTGGCACACAAATAAGCTTCAAGTTAAGTTAGGGGAATCTTCATAGCTTATCATTCTGACAACCTCTCTTCTTTTATTCCTTACTTCTACATCTTTGATGATTGGTTATTCTTCAGTTCATTGCATCTAGTTTATCTGCTCAGCACTTTACTTATGCTAAAGTTAGTACTACCACTCAGCTACCAAATCTTCTGAAGCTTTGGATATCATTTAAATTTTCCAAGACATTTAACACTGTTGCTGCACTTTTATTCTTGAAACTCAGCCTTAACTTCTGTACTACTCTCTGTTATCTTCCTGTTGTTCTGCTCCCCTTGATTGTTTCATCTTAACTTTCTTTGCCCAGCCTTTTAAAGTTCTGTTCTATGCTATTTTTTTTCACTTGATATGTTTTTCCTGGAAAATGTTCATTCTATGGATTCAACTAATTCTTTCGGTCTCATGACTCTAAAATCTTTGGCTCCTCCCCAGACTTCTATATTCCATTACCTCTCGATTATCATCTAAATATCCCACAAGCACCCCAAACTTGATATGCCTACACTAGATTTATTTTGTTTCCTGCCTTCTGATTTTATTATTCTGTTGATGGTATCACTAACATCAAGCATTCAAGTCAGAAATCTCATATTCATCCTAGATTCCTTTCTCATGGTCCTTTCTTAAATTTCCCATTAAGTTCTTCTGATTCCCTGTAAATATCTTCTAAATTCATCTGTAATCCACTGCCAGAATCTCTCATCTATACAACCCCCTCACTACTTTCTATTTCCAGCCTCATTTCCTCCCCTGCCTTCCCAGTGTACACTCAGTGCTATTTGGTTCTCTTACACATCTTTCCATCTCTTGCTGTTTTCTCTGTACAAGGTGATAGGAGGCTGAGGAGCCTTCTTTTTCATTTCAGTGACAGTGGCTTTCTGACCGTTTGCTTTCAAATTGCCTTATGGCTGAACTTGGTAGTATGGACCCAAGCTTTTTCTTATTGAGTCCATTATATGCCCATCATTATTCAGTGGTTTTGAATTGGTTTCTCACAACCACCTGGAAAGTAGGTTTTGTTGTTTTGTGGGGGTAGAAATTTTCAAATGAGAAAGCAGAGTTTGAAAACTGAAGCCACTTTCCCAAGTTCACAAAGATGCAGAGTAGGGCTCAAGTCTATTTCCATTACTCTAGAACAAAGTTTCTTTCTTTTCTTTTTTTTTTTTTCTGTTTTTTTGAGGCAGAGCCTCCCTTTGTAGTTCACACTGGCCCTGAACTCACTATGTAGCCCAGGCTGGTTTTGAACTTGTGGTGATCCTCCTGCCTCAGCCTCCCGAGTGCTGGGATTACAGGCATGCTCCATCAGGCCCGGCTTAGAACAAGGTTTCTTAACATTGACAGCACTGACATTTTGGACAGGATAGTGCTTTATTTCAGCAGCTTTCATTTGCATTATAGGATATTTAGCAGCATCCCTAACCTCCAGATGCTAGTAGTAACCTGTCCCCTCCCTACCATTTAAGACAAACAAAAACATCCTCTTATATTTCCAAGTGTACCCTGGAAAGAGGGGGCAAAATTTCCCTGGTTGAGAATCACTGCTTTTAACTTTCTACCATAACCAGATGATGTGGGCTAGAGCTCCAGGCCTGTCACTAATCACTTTGTGATTTCTCAGGTGAAAATGTTGCTTTTTCAAGTCTTATTTCCTGTTTGAAAAATTAAATCACATTTGTTTTCTCCATAGACTCAGCCAAAAGAGGATCATGGAAATGGCATTGTAAGGAAAGCCAGGGGGTAAAGAAAATTGGAATCTTGTTGTAACAACAAACCTGTCAAAGTGAGTCACATCTCCTACGAAGGGAACAATATTGAGCAAGCCCACACACTAGAGTCCTGAAAAGATGAATTAAGGTTAAGAGGTATGTTCAGAGAGAAAAAAAAATACATGTACACAATGCTGTCTCTATTCAGCAGAGAATAAATACTTCCGTGTCCTTGGTTTTTAGAATACAAACAAAACTGTATTAAATAAAACATATTCTTAATCTACCTGAACAGTTAATATCTCTATGAATTATTAAAACAAAACCTTAAAGATTAAAAAGGGCAAAAAGTATTATGTTTCCTAGTGGCATATCATTGGGCATTTGTCTGTATTACTCAAAAAGATATTTATATAATACAAAACATTTGAGGGCCTGGGATTTAGCTCAGTGGTTCTGCCCCCTGGCTTGAAAGCGAAAGGTCCTGAGTTCAATCCCTGGTACCAAAACATTCGAAAGTATCATGTTGAACATTTTAGAGAAGGAAGGAAGGTAAGACTTGACCCAGACTCCATAGCTAAAAGAAAAACAATGAGAAAGATTTAAATCTTTGACTAGAATCAAATAGGTGGTGCCATCAACTTGTCAGGATTACAACTTTCTTTTAAATCATATATGTTCTTTCTGTTTTCAGATTCCATGCTGATGGAAAGACAAAGGCTTTGCTCATGCTGGAGAAGGGTCCTAATGTTTATACACTTTTAACTAAAGTGGTTTAGCATAGTGGGTTAGAAGCCTAGGCACAGTGCAGGACTCCTTGGGGTTGAGACCAAGCTCACTGGAGATGGTAATGGAACCTACGGCATGAGGCTCATGAGGCTTTCATGAGCTAATATGTATAAAGTCCTCAAAACAGGTGTGACACACAGTAGCATGAAATATCCGTTATCATTTTTTTGCCATTGGAAAGTTGCAGTCTTGCCTTTTTATAAATTTAATACACATTAATTTAATTGCACATAATTAATTCACATTAAAAGTAAGGGGTTGGATTTTGTAGCTCAGTGATACGGCACTTCCATAGCATGTATGAAGGCTGTGGACTCGAATCCAGCAGTATAAAACAAAAAGTTTAAACATATTTAATACAAATGAAATACACATTTCCTCTTGTTCTGTTCCAGTGAGATGAATCATAGTAAGGAATCTCCATATAACAGACCTTTAAGCATTGGAAAGCAGTGAAGTTATTAGCTCAGTATCTTTATGGCTTAATAATAATTCTGACTATATTTTGTTGTTGTTGTTACTGGGCATCGAACTCTGGTTCTTGCACTTTTGAGGCAGGTGGCAGAACCACTGAGCTAAATCCCCGGGTATTCTGATTATTTTTAATAAGGGTCTTTATCCATTTCTTAAATTGACACAGATCACACCTAGTTTTTTAAAAAAGAATTTCCACTTACCAATTTTTTTCTTTGTTTTTGGTGGTGCTAGGAATCAAAGCCAGTGCCTCAGGCATGCTTAAACAAGCACTGGATCACTGAGAACACCCCAGACCCTCCACTTACCAAGTCTGATGTTTCTATGAAGAAGTAACAGTTTACTTCACAGGAGTTTAGTGTGGAAAATTCAAATAATAAAACATTTTCACAAAGTAAAATGTTCAATATTCCCAATACCAGGAATAATTTTTTAAATTGCAAACTTCTCCCAAATATTTGATCTAGAAGTGGGACCATGGAGAAGCTACTGGGACAGCTGGCTTTCCATAAGCAAAAGAATGAAGTATTCTTTTTTTGGGGTACCAGGGATCGAACTCGGGACCTTGCGCTTGTGAGGCAGGCGTCAGAACCACTGAGCTAAATCCCTGGCCCAAATGAAGTATTCTTAATCACACCATTTACAAAAATTATTTTAAAATATAAAATAAAAAATATAAAACCGAAATCCATAAAACTCTTAGAAGAAAACATAGGGACAAATCTTCATTACCTTCAATTTAGTAATAGAATCTTAGAATACCAAAATCATGTGCAACAAAAGAAAACAATCTGATTTTATCAAAATTAAAAACCTTTGGGGGCCAGGGATTTAGCTCAGTGGCAACTCCACCTGCTTCAAAAGCACAAGGTGCTGAGTTCAATCCCCGGTACCCCCCCAAAAAATTAAAAACTTTTGTGCAACAAAGAATATTATCAAGAAAGTGAAAAGACAAGCTGTAGAATCAGAGAAAATGTCTGTAAATTATATATCTGATAGGGGTTTAATATCCTCACCTATAATGAATACTAATGATTTAGCAAAAAATACTAACAAATTTAAAAGTGGGCAAAGGACTTGAGTAGACAGTTCTCCAAGGAAGATATACAAAATAGCAAATAAGCACATGGAAAGGTAAAGACTGTCACATTCCCTATGTTGACTATAATTTTAAAAATGTAAAGTAAGTGTTGGCTAAGATATGGAGAAACTGGAATCCTCATGACTGCTGATAGAAATGTAAAGTGGTATAGCAGCTATGGAAAAGTGTTTGCAAATTCCTCAAAAAACTAAACATAATGTGGCTATATGACCCAGCAATTCTACTCCTAATTATATAACCAAAAGAACTGAAAATAGGGAATCAAACTTGCATCCCAATGTTCGTTGCAGCATTACTCTCAATAGCCAAAATGTGAAAACAGCCCAAGTGTATATTACAGATGAATGGATAAACAAAACATGGTCTCTAAATATCATGGAATATTATTCATCCATAAAAAGGCATAAAATTCTGTTATATGCTACAACATGGATAAACCTTGAAGACATTATGCTAAGTGAAAGAAGCCAGACCTAAAAGGACAAATATTGTATGATTCCAGGTATCTTAACAATTATATGCCTATGTGTAGATTTTTTCTGATCAAGGCTATTTGGGGTCCTATATGCCTCACTTATCTGTATGTCAAGCTCTTTTCCCATGCTTGGGAAGTTTTCTGCCATTATTTCTGTGAAGAGATTTTTTATGTCATCTCCACTCTCTCCTGTTTCTTCATTGAGCCCAATCAGTCTTATGTTATTTTTCTTTGCATCATCTAGCAGCTGCTGGATTGATTTCTCATGTTCCCATATAATTTTGAAGCAACTTTTCTTTTCCTGGTCATTAATTGCAATCTTATCTTCTATATCTGAAATTCTGTCCTCACATTGGCTCATTCTGCTGTGTAGACTTTCAGTGGAGTTTTTCATGTCCTGGAAATCTATTTGCATCTGTTTTATGGATTCCATTTGTTTCTTATGTTGGAATTCCATCATGTTCCTGAGCTCCTCTCTAGATTTATTAATCATGTCTTGTACTAGGGGCACAATTTCTCCTGTTATCTGAGAAATTATTTCTGATTTCATTTTTTCCAGATCCCCTTTTGTTGCCAGTTCAGTGGGTCCAGGTGGTTGAGTATCAGAGTGTTCCATCTCATTTCCCTTTGGGGTTGCTATAGGTGATCTGGAAGTCTGGTTTTGAGACTTCTTTACGTGTTTTCTCATTTCGACTGGGGCAGGGGGCTGTTAGCGCCTGCCCGGATTACCTCTTCTGAGCTGGGTGAGGTGGGACAGGGGCCGGGAGCAGCAGTAGGGATGGTGACCCAAAAGCCCTTTCCTGTGGGCTGGGAGCAGTGGGAGGGATGGTGGCCGGGAAGCCCCTTCCTCTGGACCAGGAGCAGTGGGATGGCGGCTCAGAACCCCCTCCCTCTGGGCCGGGAGTGGTGGGAAGGATGGTGGCCTGGAAGGCCCTTCCTCTGGGCCAGGAGCAGTGGGACAGAAGGTGGCCCAAAAGCCCTTTCCTCTGGGCTGGGAGCAGCGGGAGGGATGGTGACTGGGAAGCCCCGGCCTCTGGACCAGGAGCAGTGGGACGGTGGCTCAGAAGCCCCTACCTCTGGGCTGGGAACAGCGGGACTCAGTACCTTGGTCTGGTGGTCTGGTGTCCTCTGCGTCTTTGTAGTGTGGAACCAGGTGGTTGCCTGTCTGCAGCGGGGTGATTCGGTGTCTTCCGCGTGACTCAGGACCTCGGTAGGGCGTGCACAGACCTTCCTGTGTGCAGCCGGCTGATTCGGCGTGTTCTGTGCTATTCCAGGTGTATCAACTGTCCACAATAGACATTCATAGACATAGAAAGTAGATGAGAGGTTGCCAAGGGCTAGAAAATCAGAAAAAAGGAAGTTATAGCTCAATGTTTATAGGGTATTTGTTGGGGCAGTGAAAATTTTGAAGATGATTGTACAGCACTGTGAATGCAATATTAAAGTCAGAATTATACATGTAAAAATTATTAAAATGGCAAATTTTACATATCTTACTACAATTTAAAAAGTGAGTGGGAGGAAGTTTACTTGATATGAAAAGAGACAATAGGAGTTCATAGGACCTAAACATTTAAAGAGAACCATTTAAAAAATAGAAATAGGGACAAAGGAAAGAACAAAATATTAATAATGGTTACCAATGAATTGAGTTCTTAGGAATGATTTTATTTTTCATGATTTTCTGCATTACTAATTTCTGACAATAGAAATATTCAAAATTAAATCTGGAAAAAAATCTAGTAAAAAAGGAACACTAAAAAATCAGAGAGATATGACTTTTAGTATGTATCTTTTTCTGTAGCAATTGAAGTCCTTCCCTCAACAGGCATGTCAGTGATTCCCCACATGAACTACCTCTCATCTCTGAGCTCCAGCTGCCTCTTTGTCATCTCTGCTATGATGTCATCTCCAAAATTTAAAATATACAAATGTAAGCTCTCACTGGTACCTACTACACCTTCTGCTGCCCCCCTTCCAATGTGCTGTTCTTCCTCCAGTACTCTCTGCCTCCATAAACTTCACCAGTCCATCCAAGTATGGAAGCCAGAAACTTAGAAATTGTTCTTCCCTCTTTTTTTCTCCAAACCACCATACAATCTACATTCAAAGTCAAAGTTTTCAGTTTAAAAATATGTCCCAAAACTTTTCACTCTTTACATCTGCACTTCCACCACCCTAATTCAAGCTACCCTCATCTCCTACCTGGAACACCTTAATAGCTTCCTACCTGTTTCCACTCTTTTCATTCTTGGCCGCAGCTCCAATCCATTATCCATTCTGTAACCAGGTTAACATTTATAATTGAGATTATATAGTCTCATTTTTCAGCTTACAGCTCTACTACAACTTCCCATTGCATTTGAGGTGGGAAAAAAGTCAAATTACAGGGGTGTGGGAGGGACCAAAGTGACAGAATATCAAGCACAAACTGTCCAAAAAGCCCTTGCACTACCAAGAGCCAGGAAGCTGATTTGTAATTACAAGAAAGTGCTGTTTTGAAACTTATGTTTGAGGTGCACCAGATTCCCAATAGCCTTGCAGGTCACCAGTGGCAATTCGTACTTCATACTCAGCCCCTTTCATCTAAGTAACAATAATACTGTGTTTGGACAGCACTTGATTACTTCTGAAGCACTTCACAGCATCAGTACAACCCTAACTTCCATTCTCTTAGTAAGCAGATGTGTGGTACCACCCCAATTTAGTGATGAGAAACCAAAGCTCAGAAAGGTAGACTCATGCAAATCTAAAAATCCGCAGCAGAACCCAGGTCCTACATGGCTACTTTCTAGCTCCCTTTGCAGTGGTGGCTTCATTGATTGATCCATAGCTCTGTCTTACCTTGCACACAAATCATTCAAACCTTAAAATATTTCTTCTTATGGGGTTCTTTCTACCTGAGTCCTGCTATAGCTGCAGACCCTTGCAAGCCCTTTAACTCCCTGTTTGAATAAAAAACATTTCAATTTCTGCCTTTAATTTTCTGCCTTTAAGAAGGCAACTACTTACTTGGAAAATCCCTAAAGCTGTATTTTCAAACCCAGGATCTGTGGCCCCCTGAGAGTCCTTTATCATATTCAAAAGGATTTATGGGAGACTTATAAGTGTATCATTGTAAAAAACAAACACACACACACACAAAAAAACCCAAAATACCAGATGACCAGGTCATGACCTTGGACTGTCACAAGATTTTAGCATTTCTGCCCTCACTTTTATGAAGATTGAGCAAACTACACAGCCCTCATGGCCAAACAAGTCCACCTCCTATTTTGTAAATAAGGTTTCTTCAGACACAGTCATGCCACTTCTTTTATTATTTATCACTGCTTTCATACTACAACTGCAGAGTTGAGTAGTTGTTACAGAGACAGAGTTGAGTAGCTGTTGAGTAGTATGGCACTCAAAGCTTAAAATATTTGCTACCTGGCCCTTTGCGCGCACACACACACACACACACACACACACACACACACACACACAAATGCTTATATTGTTCTTAAAACATATTGGGACCAAGCACCAAAACTAATTATCTGGGCCTATGAGAAACAACATATGATGATGGGATATTTTCACAGAAAGCCACATGAAGTTGTGACAGATGAGTGTACAGCATGAATGAAGCCTGTTTGTAGTTTGACTAGAGATCAGTGGTGGGTGAAAAGCTATCACCTCGTTCATGGAACAATCAGGCCCAGCCTCAGAGAACCCAGGCTTCTGCAGCCTGTAGCTGATGTCCTTAATGACTAGTTATTTAATTTAAGCAAAGCAATATCTTTTGTTCACTACACTTAAATTTTACTTTATTGGCTTTGTGATGTTTTGTTTTTCTTTTGTAAATATAGATACAAAAAAGGTATATCTCTAAGGATTTTACATCTAGTTTTAGGTTTTATTCATGTGAATGACTTTGTACTGAAAATAAATTATCAATACTAAGAGTCCAAGAGAAACACTGAACAGAAAAAAAGACCCACACAAGCCAAGGGTTGTGCATATACGTCACATGGAAGGTATGTTAATTCCCTGTATAAACACATGTATTGCTAGTCCTAGAAGACCCCCTATGAGGAAAAGTGCTAACTTAGGTTGCTCTCAATCCACACAGGATCTGTCATGGAAAGGTCCCAGGCTGTTCCTCTACACCCTCATTGTCCTGCACATTACAGCCCATACACTCTGCTTTTGGCCAAAGACTCAGAGGGTCCTCAAGTCAGTATCACATTCCAAATAGATAACTTTACTTCCTGGAAGCTTATCCAGAAAGGGCATTTTTTTATGGCACAAAGCTGAAAGATAATACATTAAGATTTGTGATAATTAAGATATTGCTTCTTTCACTGAAACTTTTTAGAAAGAAGTAATAACTTTCCAATTATAATAAATGCAATTTTCCCATTAAATAGACAAATCTTACAAGAAAAATAAGCTTAACTTACCTCTTGCTACAGATGTGAAGATTTAGAAGAGATCTAGTTGGTTACTCATTTAATTTTAATAAGCATGAATCAATTTCATTATTTCTTGAAGAACGAATTAGTTCTGTAAGCTCAGGAAAATGGAGTCTAGTGGTTTCCAAGGTAGTATAAGCCAAACTGATGTAACCTGATCATTTGTTTTGGCTCATAACTTAGATGAGGATTCTTAGGTCTTGGTTGTTTACAACATATGTTAAAAGAGACTGGAAACTGGAAATAAGAATTCAAAGTCACTCATGCATATGCAGTTCACTAAATATTCCTTTTTATAGAGCCTTGCCACCATCCACACAAAGAAGCTAGAACAAAGAGACAATGTTCCATCACTTCAAATGATTTTCCAACTTTTTATCAAAAGCTATCTACAGGGCTGGGGGTGTAGCTCAGTGGCAGAGAGCTTGGTTAGCACGCATGAGATCCTAGGTTTAACCTCCAGTACTGGCCAAAAAAAAAAAAAGCTATCTACATTAAAAGAAGGCATAAGAACAATTGAATTTAACTTAAACTATTTTAATGAGCTTAATTTAACTTCATATGTCCTAATCTTAGAAATTCATAAAGTAGAAAGATATAATAGGGAGGAAAACTAACAAGAGTAAAGTAAAAGTCATCTCCCCAAACCCAGAAATCATTGATAATAGATATTTTATGTATATAATAGATATGTATGTATACAGACTTGAGAGAGGTTGGTTTATTTAACGTACTTTATCTTTTTATAGAACTATTGACATGAGGTTGTCTAAAATTAAAGATATGTGAAAATGAAAATATAACTATTTCCTCTTAAAATAGGAATAGTTTAGAAACAGACTTTTACAGTTGAAAATGATATTACATATTGTGAAACCAAATGCCTTCATATAAGAAAACAGAGCCAGAGAGAGGTCTGCTTCAGGACTCAGAGCCATTATGAGAGTACCAAAAAGAACTAGAAATGAAACCCAAGTCTCAAAGCTCTTGGCTGTGCACTTCGATGTCCATATTGTACACCATGCAGGTTTCAGTGTCAGTTCACTCTGGGGGATCTTGATGTTCACAACCTTTAAAATTATTCCATATGTCCATGTATTCAATCCAAATTTCAAAGAAGAATGCAGTTAATTTTAAAAAAAAATCATGTAATATTATTCATTATATTCCTGTATAAACTTTTTCCATACACAATAAAGCAAATCTTACTTTCTTTTTACTGAGATCCCAGGCTTCCAGAATGTTGGTCTAGTTCCCAAATGGCCATTATTAAAATGAAATTCCGAAGTCTAGTCTCTGGAATTATTCATCACTTTCAGTTTCCACTCAGCTGTTTATAATTAGCACTTACAAGACTGTCTATGATCTTAAAACATTACCTGTTTGTGGAAAGACACCTGCTTTGAACAGCTGGGCTGAGGTAGTTTGTTGTTGAAACTACTTTGAAGGTGACCTTACTGCACCCCTGGGTACTGATGATCAAAGGATCCCAGCCTTCCAATAACGTCAGCACTAACCCAAACAAAGGGAGAATGCAATGCAATCCAGTATTGCAGAGCTGTAATTTTGTAGACAAAGATGCTTCAAGGATCTTGCAGTGTCTTGCACAAAAGCTGGAGGCAGGAGAAACTGCCAGGGACAGAGGGTAATCAGGAGGCTCTATAGAGAGATGGGCTGCAATTTGTATCTTTATGGATTGAGGGGTGTGAACTTGCAGGTGTTCTGTATGCTAGGCAAGCAACTACAACTGAAATACAACCACAGCCCTTTTATAAATGTTTTATTTAGAGACAGAGATAGAATGTCTCAGGCTGGACTTAAACTTGTGATCCTCCTATCTCCACCTCTTGAGTAGCTGGGATTGCAGGCATGTACCATGGCTGGCTTCTGCTACACTTTTGACAATAATTTAATACTTTTACCTCCATGTTTGGATTGGGGGAAGCAAATAAAGACTGCAAAAAAGTATGGAGTATTGTAATACAAATAAAATCAACTTGAAGTAAATTTTAGAGTGGAGAGAATTAAGAAAAGACAACTGGAAAAAAGATGAGAAGAATATTGTAAACTTTGTTCTCTGGTAGATTTCAGTTTTGAGAACTGCCCCTTTAGTGTGAGAATGTGGCCCTGAAAGGTGGTCAGCAAGAGCATAGCCTGGAGCAGACTGAAGCAGTGTAAGCCAGAACCTTCCAATGACCAGCATGTCCTGGAGCAACTGCACTAGAGTAGGGGCTGCAGGAAGACCCATCTCAGTGATCACTTTGTTGAAGAGGACCACAGAATCGTGCTGAATGTAGACGCCAAGTGAGAAAAGGTTAGAACCATGATCAAGGTTCTAAGCACTAGCACCATAGCTGGCTGCATGATGGAAGTATAAGTACTAATGTGTGTTGGGGACCATGTGGAAATGGTATTGTGTTCTGACTTTGACTCTTATTTCTCAGGACACTGTCCCCAACAAGAGAGATTGGTACTCTTGTCTTTTCTATTCTACAAGCAGTTGAAACATTGTATTTTCTTCTGGTTTTAATATGACGTTTGACAAACATTAGTCTAGAAGTCAGTGACCAGGATGATGAGAATGTCTCTAAAATATAAAAAGAAGGATTGAGGTAACTGAAGATGTTGAGCATGGAGAAACAAAGGACAAGATACTTCTCAGAATTTGGTATCATCTCTATGTCAAGTTTTGGTGGTGTGTGTCTTTTTGTTTTGTTTTATTTTGTTTTTTACTATAGATGTTTCATAGGCTTTGAATTCATACCAGAGCCTAAATTCTGGATATATTTCTTACTTAACTTTGTGGCCTTGTTCAAGACAATTGACTTCTCCATTTCCATGTCTGCGAAAGGAGAAAGGCACTCCCTACTTCACAGAGTTCTTATAATTGTTAAATGAAACAGTAGCTGCTCAGTAAATGATAGCTATCATTAGCTTTGAAGGCAACAGTGAGCTTGGGTTGTGAAATTTGTATGCCAAAAATATGTTTTTTAAATAGCATGAAAAATGAGAGAAGTATGCATAGATTTGAGGGGGAAATGAACAAAACAAAAGTACCTGTTGTTCTGGGCAGCAAAAACTTATGGGGAAGACTTTTCCACATCTCAAAATAATTGCTTTTTGGTACAGTTTGAAACAATTTGAAATAAGATACCTACAGGAAGAAGACAGTACTGAAACTCTAATGTAGCAATTCTCATTTATACCAGAAGCTTGGAGATTTGTAGCAGGTAGAGCAACCCAAAAAAACAAGCCCCCTTCATGATGATTGACAGTTTTGACATCTAGTTTGATGAAGGGCAAGTGCTTCTCGGGCTTCCTGCTCTGGAAAGAACAGGTTGAGGAGCTCTGTGCCTTCAGTTGCTGCCTATCTGTCTTCTAAATGATGTAGAAGAGAACTGAGGAAAAATACTCTGCGAGTGCAGAATATCTGAGGATATAAAATGGTCATATTTGAGAATCACTTATACATCTAAAATGAGTTTTCAACCCTTTTCAAGTGAAAATGTGGGTCTTGTCTTCTTGATTTTAATCACAGTTGAGTGCTTCCTGATGATGCAGGGTTGTGAGGGCTTTGCTGGACGCCAGAGCCAGCTGTCAGCAGAGCCACGGCTCCAGGCAACAATTTCTCCTCCCAGTCACTGAAAAGGCTCATGTTTTCACTATATGCACTTACAGGATCAAATGTTTTCCAGGCAATTTACATGTCCAAGGAATGTTTTGTGATCTTATTTTTCCAAAAAAAACCCCTCACTTATTGCCTGACATTAATTTAGCTACCAGTACTTCAGACTTCTCAGGGTTTGACAGACTCTAAGCTGATGAATGTATGTGCCTCCAGCTCTGATGAGTTTTCTGTTGTTGGTTCAACAAATGAAAGGCTATATTTCACTTGTCAGCACCTTGTTGCTCATCACTTAGGAAAACAAGTATGCAGTATCAGGAAATACTTAGAACCAACTAAAATGTTCATTGTATATACAGTATGACAATTATTACAATTGTGTAATGAATGTCTACATTTTATTTTGTTTTCTCTATATTAGGATTTTGTAAAAATACAATAATATGAATGGTTTTGAGACAGAGTCTCACTTTGTAGTTCAGATTCACCTTGAAATCATTATGTAGCCCAGGCACTTCTCCTACCTCAGCCTCCCAAGTTCTGGAATTATGTTAAATAAACATTTATTTAATCTCTTTCTCTTACCTCTCCCCAACATAATACTATTTTCATAGTTAAAATTAAAATCCTAAAAATCTATATAAATCTTTACACCTAGAGCTAATAATAAAATAGAAATAAATGCATCTTCCAATCCAGTGTTTGAAATAGACTCATTGCATCTATAACTCCATTATATCTTCAGGAATTGCCACACCTGATTATCAGACAATGATGTGAAAGTATTAACAGTATCTGACATGTAATAAATATTTGATGAATGAAAGTTGAGGGTTAGGGATGTAGCTCAGAGGTAGAGCACTTGCTTACAGTTGAAAGGTCAAAGTAGTAAGTAATATTTTGATGAAGCAACTTGAGATTTCCATTTGAAACAAAATCTCAGAATTTTTAAAGTAGTGATATTATTTCTTCAGGCCATTTTTTTTTACTCCAATGGGCAAGATGAGTGAAAATATTAACGCACAATTTATAGAATATAAAATAACTAGGTCATTTCCTCCAGCATTTGAATAAACTTAAAACCTAGATTTAAAAATACCTTCAACAGGGCCGGGGATTTAGCTCAGTGGTTTCGCTGCCTGCTGTGCAGGCACAAAGCCCTGAGTTCTATCCCTGGTACCAAAAAAAACACCTTCAACATCTTTTGATTTTTGTATGTGTGGGTCTGATAAGAGGCACACACTTCAAATCCTATTCAGGGCTTGAGGTCTATAGATCACACCACTCTGGGTGTTGCCAAAATACTCCAATAGGTGGTACTTTGTAAGGTCAGCATGTACATAAAATAGCTATCTGTCCTTCTAAGTTTTCATGCCCAAGTATGCTTATATGTTTTCCCTTGGAGTAATAAACTATGCTCACAGCCTGTGTAATATTGTAGATTACTCAGAATTAAGACCATGGCACCCAGAGGCAGGGCTGCCTGGCCACATCTTGAATCATGGGGACCACTGAGTATCTTTGGCCTGCTAGAAAAGCTGAGGAGAAGTAAACACATGTATAATAACCTGCCACCAGGAATTTGAGAGAAAGAAGATGATTAAAGACTATTCTAAAAGTCTTTAGAATATTGGAAGGAGGCGTGGGGAGTGGAGGGAGGCAAGGGTTTATGCACTCTACCTTTGATAAAGGGTACTACATTTCAAAATGCCCCCACCATTTTTTTTGCCTCTGATATCTTTGAGAATGAGAAAGGAGTAGCTAGGAACAGTACAGTTACAGGATGAATTGTGTCTCTTTTAAACTTTCTATGTTGAAGAGCTTACCTCAGTACCTCAGAATGTGACTATAATGGGCCTAAGGCCTTTAAAGAGCTGATTAATTTAAAATGAGGTCTTTAGAACCAATTCTAATCCAATCTGGCAGGTGTCTTATAAGAAAAGGAAATTTGAACACAGAGATGCCACAGGTATGTGTGCACAGAAAGATGGCCATCTACAAGCCAAGAAAGAGGCATCAGAGAACGTCATTCTTGCTGGGACTTGTATCTTCATTTTTTTTTATATAATTCCAGCCTCCA